ACTGGCCAGCCCCAGGCCCATGCTGCCCCTGCCCAAGGGTGCCAAACCTCCACTATTCCAAGGAGTGGGCGTGCCTGGAGCCCTCCTGGATGCCCAGGCAGGGAAGGAGAGTGTGAGGAGCTCTGCCTGCCCCCCAGCACTCACCTGCAGGATGAGGAGGAAGAGGAAATAGGTGTTGGCTACTTCCTGGAACTGCTCAAAGAGGTTGACAGGCAGGAAGGTGACAATGTTGTACTTTGAGGTCTTGATGCAGTTGCTCTGGGGACGGATGGGGCAAGAAGGCAGTTCACAGGCTGCCGAGGCCCCATAACCCTCACCCTTCCTCTGGAGGGCAGGGCTGTGGCTCACTGTGCTCTTTGGGGGGCTCTGGGCAGCAGCCTGGACTCCCAGCTCCTGTCCCTGCACTACCTCTGGCACCTTCCTTGGCAAGCTGATTCCTCTGCCTTGGTCACCAGCAGGGCCCAGCCTCCTCCAGCGGTGCCCTGCAAGGGTGACCCCAACCCAGACCCCCTGCATTCCTCTCTGCAACCAGCCTTGGAACAGCCAGGGATAACCTCCAGCTTTAGGGGGAGGCCAAGGTGAGCGCTGTCCCTCCCCCAGCACCTTTGGAAGCTGGTCCATAACGCATGAGGGGCTGAACCCTTCACACAGAGCGCACTGTGTCCCCTAGCCCCACAGCTCCCTTGCCATTAATGTCATCAGCACAATTTTCTCAGGGACAAATATCTATTTTTTTGTCATAACACCTCCCTTCACTGACCTGTGGGTGACTCAGGCCCCAGCCCCCCCAAACTTGCCCAAACACCCCTGGGAGGGGTTTCAGCTCCCCTCTCACTCACTGCGTACTGGAACTTCTCGTTGTACTCCCGTGCGTTGGCTCGCACTCGCCGCTCCTCCTCTGCAACACAGCGCCCCGTCAGTCCTGTGCACCCTGACACCCCTGAACCCCGACCGGCCCTGCATTCTGACACCCCCTGCACTCCAACCACCCCTGCACCCTGAGAGCCTGCCAAGCCAGTCCCAGGGACCCAGAACCCAGGGAACAGAGAAGCTTCCCAGCTGTAGCCCTGCGCTCCCTCATGCCAGGACCTGTACTCCTGCACCTGCAGAATCCCAGTGCTGCTTAGCTGTACTCCCCACCAGAAAAACCTGCACCCCAGGCCCCCCGAGCCTGCACTCCTAGACCTCTGCTTATTTGCATCCCCAGAGCCCCAGATTCTGCACCTCCCATGTCTTATTTGTCTGCTCCTCCAGCCCTGCACCCCCAGGCCGCATCTCTGCACCCCCAGCCCTGCTCATCTGCAACCCCACAACCTCCGTTTAGAACATCCAGATTCTGCACCCCTAGATCGCATCTCTGCTCTCCCAGACACCCAGACCTGCTCAGCTGCATCTCTGGATTCACAGCCTGCACCCCTTGCCCCCCAGATTCCGCATCCCCAGACCGGCCCAGTCCTGCTTGGCCGCAACCCTGCACCCCCATCCCCGCACCCCCCGGCCCCCATTTCTGCTCCCCCGCCGTGCCCACCCCGCACCCACCCGGCCCGCCGCGGACGCGGACCCGCGGCCACTTCTCGGGCATCTCCCGGGGCACCGTCATGGCCCGGCCCCGGCCCGGCCCGGCCCGGCCCGCGCTGCCGCTGCCGGCCCGGGCCCGCCC